ACTTTACAACATCACCTATGAAATGTGGAAGCCCATCGGTGCCCCCTCAACATTCTTATCTATAGTATGAGAGATCGAAGGGGAAAACTACTCCTGGGTAACAAAAACTCATGATGGCAACTGACATCCATAGAGGCACTCCCTATGTATACCAGGCTCAAGAGACCAACTATTTTAAGGCAATGACTATCACCTAAGCATCACAAGTCTAAAGGCATGGCCCCCATCATTGAAAAAGGAAGCTTCAAATGAGCAAAGTGGCTATCCCTAAGGCATCACAAGCTGAAAGTGCAAGAGCACTACCCTTGAGAATAGGCCCTGTTGGGGAAAGGACTATTTTTAACAAATTGTTGATGAAATTCTCCCATTAAGTTGTAAGAAGAAGAAAAAGCAACATGCTCTTTAGGAATGGGAGGAACATAAGGGGCAATGGACTAGCAGTGGCCAATCAAGTGACTACCGAATCTGGCATCACAAGATGGATGGTAAATGAAAGGGATGTGTTACACATGCAACATTAAATGGCATGCCCATACAATGACATACAAGACAAGACATCAGGCTTTTGTTGAGAGCACCTAGGACTCGATGGCAATGTGACTGAGCTGGCTCGAGCAGCATAAGCTAAGCTCAACAAAGCTAAGATCCCTTGAGCTTGCTCGACCTAGCCCAAGGTTGGTCTACGTTAGCCTTGCTTGAATCTAATTATACATTTTTTAGCTCAATTAGATGGTTGGTATTTGACCATTTATGGTTCAAGTGACAATTCAATTATATTTGAGTGGTCTGAGGTAAGTGAAAGACATTTGTGTTTGCTTTGAACTTTGAATTCAACAGAGCCCAACTAAGGCTTAGGTTATTCTAAATAAAGGTTCAGCCTAGGCCATTGGGTTTAATTAAGCTCAAATTCACTAAGTTAAATTCAGCTTTACAAGCTTGTGTGCACGCAAACGAGGCTTAGATCGAGCCTTTAAGTTCAATTTGTTTTTGGTGCACCTTATGACCAATGAAAAAGATCACAAAGATTATTAATGTATGTACCAATTAAATGACTAATTACATTACATTCCATGTAAATTATTTATTCAATTAAAGTTAAACCGGGTCGGCTTCTAATAAGCCAGAGCCAATTGAGCTTTAATTAAGACATGACTTAGGTGTGGACAATTGAGTCTACAAATTTTAATTTTAGGTAATTGAACCAATAAAATAGCATGCAGTTGCCTAAGCTAAGATGCACTATGAGGGGCTCAAATGAAGATTATGACACCTTGCAGTTGAAGCGCAAACTGAATGAGGTAATGAGTTTAGTTTGGCTAAGCAAGCTTGATTCTTGAGTCTCCATGTGACAAAATTAAGAGGAATTAGCTCAATCTAAGTCTAGTGTATAGAGCATGATTATTCTAATGGTTACTAGATCAATCAATTGTGAATTAGGCCAATTAACCACCCAATTGAGCCTAGTCCTTCATAAAAAAACCATCAGGGCACAATTATGTCAGAGGGTAGATGATCAGATCAAGAATTATGCTACATTGGATTTTAGATCAAATAATTTAATTAAACCTAGGTGGGCCACAGTCATTATATGCTAATTGTGTCTACAACTTCCTATGTCAACTTGAGATAAAAAAATGAGTTGGCTTGGACTAGCTAGTGTTTGCTCAAACTGATAGAGGTTACCTAGAGCCATCCAATATTATAGAAGATTTAATTAAGTTATCTTGGGCCATATATGGATTATAACAGGTTAACCATGAACAAGTAGTCCATTTAAATGTTGAGAACTCTAATAATTTGATGCATGCTAATTTACTAGGGCTTATTAGGTTAACTAGAGTTCTATTGGTTTATCCTGAGACCACAACAAGCTAGTTGGGCTAGGCCGTAGACCAACTATGCCTTGAAGGTTAAATTAAGCCTAACCAAAAGAATATTTAGCCCATTAAGACTCAATTAAAGGAGAGGCCAAATAAACATCCTCAAAAACTCAAATGTTTAGGGTGATTAGACAAGAATGAGCTAACTTGTCTAAACCCATTGAGCAATTAAATTGACTAAGGGTTAATTGTATTGATCATGGGTCTTACTGAGTAAAACTAGCTCAATCAAAAAAGCTCACAGGCTTAGCACGGCTTGTTAAAGGTTCATGAAGCCTATATTTGGTTAATTAGGAGCACTTTGAGCTCATTCGACTAATTAGGATAGAATTAGATCATATATGACTACTTACACCAACATTAGATCAGCCAAGATAGGTTGGCCAATCAGTGCTCATTTTGAGCCTACTGACACTTAGAATAATCAAATTACTATAGGACAACTAAAAATATGGAGATTATACAAAAGGTCTTAGCCTCCTAAGAATCATAATGAATCACTCAAGGTAAAATTAAAGTTCAAAAATTGCGTCATTGGGCACTAAGATTTTTTTTGTGCATGTAATGTGGTGTATGCCTCAAAAAGTATTATACTAAGTTTAAAGTTCTACTAAAAAGTAACATATTAACATCCTAACTAATTAATATATTAAAATGTAACATATTAAAGTACTAACTTGTTAATATATTAAAATATCAAATATCAATATCTAGATACGGTAAAAGTAATAAATTATTCAAAATAAAAAGTAACATGTTAACATCAAATCATCAAATCATAAAAGAAGGTTTATACAAAAATCAAAAATCGAAAAAAAATATAACAATTCAACAAAGAACAATGCAATTAGCCTCAATTATACTTCTATTTTCATCTATCAAATTAAAAATATAATGTCAATAAAGTTATAAGTTCTAGATTTAAAGCTCCCTATCACTTCTAACTTTTAATGAGCTATCACTAGAATTATCAACATAACAATTAATTTTCCCTCTCACCTCATCCTCATTTATAAATAAATATATATATATATATATATATTTTTTTTGTGTGCGTGTTTGTGTGTTAGTTGGTAGAGCATCCACTTCGCGGTGTCGTCCCCTCTAATCTGGGTTTCAAATCTCGCTTCTAGCGAATGGTGCCTTAAGGAAAGGGTACTCGAATATTAAGGCGCATGGGTCGCCCCCAGACCTGATGGGGGTTGAGCCAATAGGGTGGGTTGGGGACCTCAAGCCCCGACCAATTCTTTGAAAAAAATAAAATAAAACAAAAAAATTATATACATACACACATATATATATATATATACATACAGATATATATATATATATATACATATATATGTATATATGTATATATATATAGATACATATATGTCGGCACTATTTTTTTATTTAATCAATATTAATTAAAAAATTATTTATTAGAATTTAAAATAATGACTATATTGATAGTCACTAGTTTCAATTAGGTTCTCAATTGTGCATTATATGGATAAGTGAAAAATTATTATTCTATTATTTTACTTGTTACTTTAAAGAAAACTAGACCTAATTGTGGACTTCTCAAAGAGGTGATGCATGCCTTGAGATGGGCCTTATATTATGCGAGCGGTAAGCCTCATTACAAATGTTTCATAAAACAGTTGAGACAAACCAATAATTATGCAATTTTAATCACGGAAAAAAGTACACTTCATTACCTAGCCTTGACCTCTTAAGCCATGCAGACCAAATTCACAGGCTAATAAACTTGAGATTAAGTAGAATGGCTCTAAGACCAAGTTTCCACGACACTTTCAATTTTTCAAAGGCAAATTGATTCAATCCACAAACATAAGCAAGTCCAAGATATGGGTGAAGTACTGCATGGAACTCGCTACTCTAAAGTAGAATTTTGTTCTCATATATATATATATAAGACACAAATTAAAAGTACAAAAAAAACTATATATATATATATATATATTAAAGAACAAGAAAAGGAATGATACAGCTTCCGTGAAGGTGAACGATGCAGCTTCCGGAACACAAAAGAGAACTAACGTGATCACAAGGTTAATTAATCATAGCCTAAGATTAATAATAAAAATACACCTTAAGATACACTTAGAATCCAAAACTGCATTAAAATACAGGTTACTGATAGTCTTAACTGCCATAATATGGTTTGCAAGCTAGAAAGAATCGAAACAGAAAAATTATTTTGAATGAAAGATCATTATAGTCCTTTTATGGATGATAAAGGGAATTTGTCTACATCAATCAAGCTAAGAAAATTGATGCTATGGGAAAAAGCAAAAAATCATTAAGAGTGTTCATATGCTTGGATTTCCTTTTTGTTGTATTTTGTTTTATTTTGCTTGGCTTTTTTTTCCACATAAAACAAAAAATACATTTAAATATGCCGGTATATTAAAATTCTAATTAGTGAAATATTTGAGATCTCCAAACATCTCAAATTATCAACCTATTTTGACCAACATAATGATGCAGTTGAATCAAAACAGTATGCACATTTATAAATTTGTTATGTAAACCTGTAAGCACACTAATAACATGACATATGATTGAGACGTAAACGAACCAAATAGGCCCTAACTTTTTCAGAAACCAATACACAACATTCCTCTCCTTAACAACAGTTTATTGAGAGAGAGAAAAAAAAAAAACCAAGGGAATCCAAGCATGCTTCAAGAAATACCAAACGCAAAATGGAGGCAACTTCGATACCTTTCTTAGCCAAGAAATTTTTTTCTTTTATTCTAGCTTCTCTAAGCATAAGCTGGAACCAATCCAAAGAAACATTTTTTTCTATTTTAGGTTCCACTTTCGCGCGCATGAGCTACTCCCACCATTCCATTCAATGACATAAGTTATTCTTCAATCAAGCATGAAGTGCCAGTTTATTTATTATTCCAATAAACACTTTAAAAAAGGAAAATTGCAGCCCATCATATCTTTTAACTGAAACAAAAAAAAAGAAGCAAAAAATTGGGAAATTCACCTCAGAATTTTCAATTAATTCAAACAGCAGTAGAGCCAATGAATCTAAAATTTGCTAATGGTTGCAAATAATTGATATAAAAAAATAGCAAAAAATGAGTGTGAGATTGGAACCTGTTCAATCTCAACTGGACGGTGGTGGTAACATCCTCGCAAGCGATGATAACGCCAAGGAGGAATGGGATCCGATCCAAGGACCGCCGCTTGAAAAGGGGAAAAAGAATCTTCCACTGAATATCTCAGTTCTAGGTTGCCACCCCTTCTCCAAGAAAATGGCCGCTAGCATCATTAAAGAAGGTAATGAATGACTTCGCAAACATCAGAAAAAAACACCAAGCGGCATCAACAAATGAGGCAAGAGAAACTATTCAAATTAAAAATAAACATTTTCCGAAATTATTAGAATCCTTCGTTGTTTAAGTTTGGAGGATAGAAGCAATTAATGCAGAGCAAAAATTCAAATAAAAAAAATGAAGAAAAGTGTTATCGTTGTTTAAATTTATCTTCTTCTCGAAAAAAGAATGATAGCATAAGGGTAAACCAATTTGCATGAATCCCCGTGAAGCTCATTTCTCGAGCAAACGCTGCCCCATCAGAATACTCGCCACCAAACGGCAATTTTAGAAAGCGAGAACGTCGAAACGGGTTAAAGACAAAAAATTGATACCCAATATCCGAAGCGAAAGTCATAACATACAGAAATGAAGTGACGATGAGGAAAATAAAAAGTCCAAATCAACAAGCGACAAAATAACATAGAAATAGATACCCCACTCAAAGCCCTCTCGGCACCATGACTATCACTCCCTGCAGATTCATCGCTCGATACAGACGAGATCGACGAGATTGGCTCCCCACGCGTCTCCTTCTTTATCTTCTTTGTTATCCGACGCTTAGAACCCTTATCATCACTATTCTCCGAGGAGTGGACGGAAGAATCATCTGAGAAGGCGCAGCCAAGGCCACAGAAAGCTGAAGAACCGAAGGCCTTCTTCTTACCTACACCCGAATTAGCCGACGGTGGCGAGGAAAGGGAGGGCGACATGAGATGATTGTGATCTACGGCGAGGGATGATGAACTTTTGAGGAGCAGAAGCCTACGTAGGCTGCGGCGGCGAGGAGACGGGGAAGGGCAATCGGAGGACGCCATGGCGGTCAGGAATTGGTTTCCTTCTGTTTCGCCCTTATGGACCGGCGAGGGAATGTGATGACGTGGCGGATTCCTGTATTACGGTGCGGAGAGAACAGCATGTGGCAAAAATAGTAGGCTACCCGTGGATCGTTCGGACTGTGCTGGATTAATAAATTCGTAATTTTATTATTACAAATGTATTTTTTTGAGGTTTTCCGCAATAATGGCGTTGTGATAATTATTTTATTATTCATTTTTTATTTAATATTATAATTTTTGGGTAATAACTCTTTTTTCTTGTTAATATCTTTACTTCTATTAAATCTGAATATATCTAGGGACAGAGAGAAAAGAGAGAGAGAGAGAGAGAGAGCACAATATTGAAGAGTAGAAATACGTAACATTTATTCATGAAATGAACTCTTTATATACAGAGAGAGGGGTCATTATACAATTACATATTGTGCTAGTTAATAATATGGGTACAGCGGGGGTATTTTAGTTCGTATACAAGTTTGGTATGTTGGGTCAGTGGGTGTGGTTGACCAGCAACATCCGGGCGACCACACAGTCTAATGATTGTAAGGCATGAGCGACACATGGTCGGGCGACTATTTATCAAAGTCTGCATCAGCCATTCTGGAGTTAAAGGGTATGTTTGTCAAAAGTCCTCTGTAGAATCTCATACAAATTAGGAAAAGAGTTCGTCTGAACGGGCTTGATCAGTTGGATTTTTCAAGAGGGATTTTCTCTTTTTTATTTCTTAGAGGTGTCCAAACTCTATGATAATTGATAAGGTGGACTGGCTGATTGAGCATTTTGTCTTGGAGCACTCATGGTAGGTTGTATTTGTGAGACTCCTTCGTGAATCGTGTTGATACATTTTTTATGTACATATGAAGTTTTTCAATTTACTTCCTCTTTGATATTAACAACTGCAATAAGGACACAAAAACCTTTAAAAATAAGACATATCTCATTCCAATATTCATTTATTAGCTTCATAAATATACTTCCTAGATTTCTGTATCAACGATTGACATATATAGGACAGCTTCATCGTCTTGAATTTGTTCCTCATCTAGGTCTTTGTTTGTTATTCGCAACTTTATTATGTAGAAAGGATTTGACTTCATATTGAAACCTACTGATAAGGCCAGGATGTTGGCTGCTCTTGGGGTCAGATCACGTCATTTCTGAGGGTGAGTCATCGAGAAGAAAATTGGTCAAGAGGTTGAGACAAGATGAAGATCGAGGGTGGGGGAGTCGTCGATTTAGCTTGAGGCACATAAGGAGGAGCCTCAACCAAGATTGGTGCTTACTAGAGGACTTTTGCGGTCGATCCATCGATGAGGGCTCCCTTAGAAGCCCAGATCCACTCGATTGTTGTGAATATTCCTCCGTTGTAAAATACTAACTGAATCAACGGTAATGGCACTCTGTCTAGCGAGATACGTTTGGTAAATCCTTTCCATCTCACGATGTGGGCGGCGCAACATGGTTCAAAATGAATTTAGTCCTAAGTAATTAGTCTTTTTTTTTCCTTTACCCTCTCCTTTTTTATTTCAGTGTGATGCTTGTCGATGGTCTTTTTTAGATGTGGATCCTTCTGTCGAACACTTGTTGGTGGGCACTGGTGGTTTGAACTTACAAATGGTTCCGGCTCCTAGAGACCTGGTTAGCGGTGAAGAGGATGTGGTTAGTCAACTGGTTAGACTAGATGTGATCTGGGGCTTGAACATTGAATCCTGTTCACCATCCCTGGTAGTCTTAACATGTCGTCCGGTGAAAATAGAGAACATCATGGCCTGCCAGGGCCCGGATTTGCAAGCTGGAGTAGGCAGATGCATGGAGAAGTGCCTACCCTTCACCGTGAGATATCCAGGCTCTTGGAGGAAAACATTTGTTATGAGGGTCAGCTCCAAGGCCTATTGTGTGAACCAATTTAAGCTTGGTTGCTAGACATATTTTGGAGGCTAGTTATAAGAGGTTTAGTACTTGTCAAGATGGATGAGGTTCAACTGGCGAAATATTTCATGTCAGACTAGATCCTTGTGTAATCATTCTTTTCGGGATAAATAAAATGTATTTCTTTGTAGTTCTACATGTTTGTGTTTAATAAAACAGTCGCCGCCAGAATGTCGTCGCCTTCGTCAATTCTTTGATTGTGTCCTTTGCTGATGTCGGTGTTGAGGAGTCGCCAATTTGTTTATCATTATACTACCAGCCTTTCCTAAATTCTTTCAACTCATACCATGTTGATCGATATAAGAGCGGAGAAATCAAGGAAAGTAAGGCAAACAATAACAAGAATAAATAAATGTCTATGGAGCTTTCATAAATAAATTCATTGTTACTAAAGAATCCTTATGAAAGTATTATACTAGATATTTTTGTTTTATTAAGACAAGTCCATATAGTTGATTACATCTTAAATAATCCATGATTATTTAAGAAAACTTTCTATTAGGGTTTAATTTGTTCAAAGAGAATTCCAAGATAATGTCAAGGAAAGGAATGTCCAAAATCCTATCCAAAGAGTAGTTGATATCAAATTTACCTAGAATTTTGTTTAGTTAAGGTTGATTCCTTAATCCATGTCTTGAGTGATAGGAACGATCATCTTTAAAAATAAAATTAACACACTCTATAACATATAAAGAAAATCTAGGATAACATTTGTAATGATATTCACCTTTCTTCAGTAGCCCTGCAAATTAAAGTTTGCAGAAAGAAAAATTTTATTTATTGGTTTTTAAATTTTTAGATGACCCAATTAAGATGTATATGCCTCCATCAGAGTACCCTAATTTACTTAGCTTGAGATGTGGTCAACCTACTCTGACTGAAAGATTCTTGTCAGCAACCATAGATTGTGTTGTCCAAGAGATCTTTGTAAACTAGGATAGGATAGGTTAAAGTTGCGTTCGATGATCTTTATGCATTAAGATTTCATTTAGGTTTTATTGTCTTTTTCGAATTTTAAGGGTTGAAAATTTTAGGTTGCTTATGATTTATTAGCGGATTAGTTATTTTTTTCATTTTGTTTTTTTTTTTTTTTTGGATGACTCGATCAAGATCCCATAGTTTCGTCAGCCCGAGTCATTATGGTTCATGGTTTAATTAATCACGAGTGACTGGAAGATATTTTCTTAGCAACCATGAGTTACCTTCTCCAAAATATCTTCTTAAATCAAGTTGTGTTTTAAGGTTCAAGTTTAAATTTTAACGTGTTTTAATGTATATTTTATGTCATTTAAGTTGGTTTGGTACTTTAGGCCAAATTTTCCTCAACTGATGCTAAGTGTGCTTTTATTCTCATATGAGAATTCCAAACCTCACTTAACTGTAGTTACATTAATTCATGTTTAGATTAGTTCATACTAAGTTGAACTAATCCATAATGAGATTCCAAATAATTTGAGTTAACCTTAATTAGGTTCATTGTCTCTCAAATTGCCTTTAAACTTGTTTAAATCGACCAAACTTTAATAGGATTAACCTAGATTTAGTTTTATTAAAATCAAACTAATTTTACTTGCTGTTATTTGATGTAGAATAAACCAAATAAATTCAAAGTTGATTTAAATCGACCAAAGTTTAAATTGGTTTCATCTTTTGAATGCAATAGTTCAAAGTGGCTCTTTCTTGGGTCACTTCACTCAAATGGTTCGAAGGAAGAAGGCGAGCAGAAATAAAATAATGTCATACCTTAAATAGGGCATTGAGTTTAGAAGAAGAAAAGTTTAATTTGTGATTATTCTTTATTTTCCAAGCTCCATGCCCATCAGTAGGCTCGAATGATGAGTAGTAGCAATCAGGTATAACAGGCAACTGGTATAAGGCATTGAACCACTTAGGGGTAAACTCTACACTCCTCTCCCTAACAAATACTTCATCGTCAGACGCATTTGGGAGATTTGCATAAAAATCTCAAACAATAGAAAAAATTGCTATGACAATAAAGTGGCAGAAACTCTCCCAGTGACGTGTTATAATCAGATTTTCCAAAGAATTACTTGGTTTAAAAAAGCTTCTTTCTGTTATAAGCTTTTTTGATAAAAGAAACTCGTTGTATCAATCTTGTGCTTTTAAACTTGTAAATTTTATTTGATCAAAGAATTCCTTTCCCTTTTCTCTCTTTCTCTTAAAAGTCATTTCAAATCTAAAAAATATCCAAATAAATTACAAATATAAGTTTAAGGGCTTGTGCGAGCATTTTCCAAGCTAACAAGCTGTGTTAAAGAGAGAAAGTGCTTAAAGAGAACTTCTAGGGATTTGCTTGGGAATGAGTGTGAGATAAGTTGTGTTCTTTTCTTTCTTTATTTTGTAAACTTGCTTTTATATATGAAATCCGTGTTTTGTCATATCCTTCTCATGAATTCTGAGTAGTTTTTTTTATCCTTCTCCCTACAATGAGAATTAGTTTTGTGAAGAATTGATTTTGTTCAATACGATTTTAAATGTCAATAATTTGTGAAGATTTGAACTCTGATCTTCATTTACTTTTCTATTTGGTCAATTGAAAGGTTAAAATTTTTTTAGAAACATAAGATCCGAAAGGGCTATGTTTTCTAGAATAAAGTAAGAGTCATATTCAATTTCATGGGTGAGAATGTAATCCATGGGGTTGAGTGCAATTAAATAAGGAAATATACTTTGTTAGATACTGAATTGGAGATTTTAAGGTGACATATTAAAATTCCCAATTTGGTCCAGTTGTTTGGAAACTGATGCGAGATTATTAGCCCTCAGGCGAGGGAGAAGTGGGAGATTTGGAGTGAGAGCCGGTATCCTCCCAACCTAACCACAGAATTAGGGACCAAACTCTAGATTAGTCAATGTTCTTTATGAACTTGAGAGAGGGTAAATAATAAGATTGTTCCTATTTGACACAATACAATTTTATATATAATTTTAAATGATTTTAAATACTTCACTAACCATGTACTCATTATAGAGGGGAATGATGTTTTATTAAATTTGAACTCTTAGTCACAAAACTTTGTTTAGTATTAGTAAAATTAACTTTGAAGTTTAGAAATTAGTTTAGTAAACTTAGTTTTTTTAGTTATATTTCTGTTAATATTCACTAAACTCATTTATAACTTGTTTTTTTTACTTTAATTTTTTATAGTTTGAA